TCTTTCCCTCACTCTATAAACCGACCACTAACAATTAATGGAGAGCAAAAATTGTGTTCTCTGATTTTCTGCAATCTCCATTTTATAGAATAGCTATTAGACTCCTAGAGGAAATTTAATCTTTATCTTCAAGATAAAACTTGATAACTATCTCCCACTTCTAACTTATTTTGGAACAAAATTTTCTCTCCTTTATCTTCTACTAGGGCCGGTTTATCCCATGTGGTTGATGTTATTAATAAATTAGGGAAGGAGAAAAAATTCTCCTTTATCTAGTTGTCTAATTTTGACTTAAATTCAAATTCTAATTAAAGTCAAACATAATTTAATTTGAATTCTAATCGGCTAACTTATCAAATAAGTCAATTAGATAACTTAGAGAGCAAGCAACTGAATCTCAGAGGAATTCTACTAGTGCAAGACGTATGACACAGTGTGGACCCCTTTACATGTGTGCTTCAAAATTCATATTAAATAATCACATTATTTTATATCCAATTAATTTTTAATTAATTATTCTTGAGTATTTTATTTTATAATTCCATAATTCTAAAGCTCCGTTTGGTATGAGGGTTCAAACTAGTGTGATTTTGGTTTTAATTTTGGAACCAAAAACGTGATTCATAGTTTTGGGTCTAATCATGATTTTGAAACCAGAACCAGCAGCATGAGTTTAAACCATCCAAAACAAAGGGGTGGTAGTTTTAAAACTATGAGTGGTTCTAGTTTAAAACATCACATCAGGTCTCAAATCTTGAATTAAAACCATTCAAACCAAAAACTATTTTTCAAACCTTGAACCAAAACTATTTTTTACTTTTTACAAATAAATAAAGGTTTGAACCAGAATTATGATTCTGGTTCTAGATGTTAGCGTTTATGCCCTTTAGAAATAAATGTAACAATGTATATTAGACATTTTGAGTAACAAAAGTTTGTTTGTTTCATATGTCAAGTGTTTTGTCCTATTTACGTTCATATTAGTTGAATGTAGATAAGCAAAGTGGAAATCTAAGACTGCCGCATTAAATCTTTGGATCATGTATATAATCTGAAGAATGTGCGGAAGACATGAATCTAAAGATAATAGTCTAATTGTTAACATCCACAATCAATGAAATAAAGTTAGGTGCTTTATTCATGTTGAGATTGTTTTGTTGTCTACTTTCTAACGGAGACGGCTTGTCTTGGTCGTCAGAGGTGGGACTCAATAAGTAGATACATTGATATAATTCCTAGTGGTGGAATCTATATTGAATCAAGTCAAAGTTGAATTGTTTTAATTAATAGTTTTGTTTGAATAAAACAATTCACTTTTGACTAATTATATGTTATCATCTTAATCCTGAGATCCATAATAAACCCGAATACTTGACTTTTTCATTTTGATGTACCAAAGGGAGACATCCTGACATTGTGTAAAGGTACGCTTACCGGTACGTTAGGGGCATGACTCCTGTGTTGGTTTTCGAAATGATTTCAGATGCACGTTCCTCGCTCTAAGCTAGTTTAGAACACTCAAATCTTCTTCGTCAATTTCTTGAATCTACAAAGACGTGTGTGTGGGCACACATTCTTCATCAATTCCTTGAATCTAAAAAACCGTGTGTGTGGGCAGACCTGAAACAAAATGGGATTAGCGAATAAACAATAAAGGTTTTCACGAACACCAATATATTGTCATGACCGCAAAGATGGGACCGTGATTATTAAGATTTAATTAAAGAAAATTAACTTAATTAAACTGGATTGATTAACGAAAACCATGAAAATAAATACATAAATATCAAAATATATTGCTAAGGAAAATAGTACAACTCTGGGACAATGTCGACCAATACAGTTTATGTACAGGAATATAGTACATCTCATAATTTAAAAACTGTAATTCAAAACTAACGAACCGCTTTGAATCTCGCACTTTCAATCCATTGACATCCACTTGCCATGCTGTGAATTTAAACCGCTAACTCTAGAGGGGGTTAAAACATTGAAAACATAATTAAAGTGAGCGAAAGACCAAGTAAGATATAATTTTAGAAAATTTATAAATAAAAAGTATGCACAGTCTAAACATATCATTCGGAACCAAACATCATTTTTTAAAAAGAAAATAAGCTTAAATTTCCAATTCAAGGCATCAGCAAGTAATTTATAAGCTAGAATAAATTACTTACAACCATTGCAAGGCCAATCGCCACCGTAGTGGCCCTTACAAGTTTCGGGTCCTACCCCCAAGGATACGATCTCTAGGCCATCAGCGTTGTTACCATTTCTTAAAACATCTTATTTCAAGAAAATATCCATTAAACCTTAATTCAGTTCATTATAAATTCAATAGCATAAATCATGTTATTTCCTTAACTACTTTTCTTTATAAAACATGTTTTGTCTTAAAAATATTTCCATAAGCCAAAACACTTTAGAACAAGGCTAACAAGGATATGAACAAGAGTATCCTACCAATCGGATGTCAAATCTATGAATAACTTCACGTTGTCCAACCGTCTATTCTTGAAGCTCCACATCCAATCGTGCCTCTAGCTTCGTCATCAAAATAATGTTTTAGAATTGAGATCTCACCTTAAAATGAATCTAGTTCAATTATGTACAATTGTTTCCTATTAGTGTGCTTTGACTCAAGTCCAAAGTTTATAAATTGTTGGTTACCGAATCGAATTCGAATGCGGAAGCGTGGGGTTAGCGGATTGTGTATAACAAAAAATTTCATAAAACCTTTGAGGTACTCTATAGATTATATTAATTTATACATGAATAAATTAATCACATTAATTTATTAATTAAGAACTCGAATAGGAATTATACCTAGCAATCGATTAGGATGATAATTTGAGTTCTTTCACCTCGAACAATCCTTGCTCCACACTTTGTTTAGAAAATCCGAGCCTTCCTCATCAATTCCTTGAATCTATGAAGACGTGTGTATGGGCACATCTGAAACAAAATGGGTTAACAAAAACACTCAATAATTTCCACAAACACCAACGCATACACGACGTGGAATTTTTGGAGAAAAATTTTCCTCTCAACTCTTGGAAGAATTCAGCCACCCTCTAAAATTAGGAGCAAAATTGTGTCAAAAATTGTGTCCAAAAATTGTGTCTCACAATTTTCTACTATCTCCTTATTTATAGAATAGTAGTTAGACTTCTAGAAGAAGTCCTATCTTTATCTACAAGATAAAGCTTATCAATTATCTTCCATTTGAATTTGGAACAAATTCTCCCTTCCTTTATCCACTAATGGCCGGCCATAGATAGGGGATTTTATCCTTGTGTAGGCGCTAATCATCAGATAGGGAAGGAAGAGAAAAGCATCATTTATCCTGCAATCCAATTTTGACTCAAATTCAAAATCCAATTTAAGTCAAACTTAAATTCATTTGAATTTTAAATTGAACAACTTATCAAATAAGTTTGAATAGATAATTCAAGATGTGTTCACACTATGTGTTCACACTGTGTGTTCACACTATGTGTTCACACTACGCATTGCGTTCACACTATGTGAACATCTTCACCTAAGTGATCCAAAATTTAAATTTAAATTTAAATAATCACATTATTTAAATAATAATTCATTCTCAATTAATTATCCTTAAGTGTTTAATTTTAAAATTTCGTAATTCTAAAATTATCATTTTGCCCTTTGGTGTTTTGTAGAATTATAAGGACGACGCGGGGACTCATGGACCTATAATTTCGAGCTCTAATAAAATTAATAATTAATTAAACACTTTAATTAATTAATTAATCTTATTAATTCTAAAAGTTACTCCACTATAAACTTAGAATTGCACTCTCGTAATTATGGATATAAATTACTTCTAAACTGTAAATTGTCCATGTGATATAGTCACTGCATATAGATTAATCCTCCATAACTAATTCATAGTTAGAGCTAGGTGAAATCCGTTTACCTCTCTAATTACATCTTTATCCTTGAGGACCATTGATTCTCTATTAGACAGTGATTCATAAAACACATTCATGAATCAGAGCTCCTACTGGTCCAAGTACTGTCACGCCCCCCAAACAGGGTGGGTGACGTGGAGCTCGATTAGGGATTAATAAAGTAGATTCCCAATCAGGCCCCACACTTAACTACATTAAAATATAAATAACTTACAGAATTCTGGAGCCTCTGACACACAGGGCTCCACCCCACAGGACATACAGTATCGTACATACATGCTCATGTAAATAATCATTACAACAGACATCAACCACAGTCTAGTTAATCCAAATATTACATAAGTTTACAGAATTTCTCAAATTCCTTACATTTGTCCAAGAGGATGTTCGCGATCCTCACTTGATTCCAACAGTAGCACAACTCAGCTGCTCCGTAGCAATTATCCAGCTACTGTGCACCGCTCCTAGAATCTCTTGGGAGGGGTTTAATACATTTGAAATATAAAACGTTAGCGAAAGGCCCAGTAGGATGTAATTT